GGCTCTGCCCTGCCTCTCTTCGCGGGCTCCCTCTCCCTCTGCGCTTGCTCCGCCCCCTCTCGGGGTCCGCCCTCTCCCACGCGTGCTCCGCCTCTCTGCGCTTGCTCCGCCTCCGCTCGGGCTCCGCCCACTCACCGCGCGGGCTCCGCCCTCTTCCCATGCGTGCTTCACCTCCTCTGCTTTGCTCCGCCCCTCCCAGCGGTAGCTCCTTGCTCGAACCCCACCTCCTGGACGTCACCACGCCCTTTGCGTGCGTTGTGCACCCCGGAAGCGCGCTCCCCCGGGAGTGCCGTCCTCCTGCCAGGCTCTCCCGCCCCGGGGATTCCGGGGCTTCCCGCGGGTCCTCCAGGAGAGCCACCTGCAGGGCCCCTCCGCCCCAGGTGCAGCGCCGTCCGGGAGGGGCTCTGGGGGCTTCCTCACCCTGTCCAGGCCGCTGCATACCCCCCCAGCAGCTGCAGGCGGGGTCCCCAGCCCTCCTCTCCCTCCAGCCCTTTCCTCAAGACCTCCGCTTCCTCCGTCCCCTCCTTCCTCTGTGGATCTTTCTCCACAGAACAGCTGAGGGATTGCTTTATAAAACCAGCTGCCTTACTCCTGCCTTTCCACCACCCCCAGGGTCCCTCCAACGCAGCCAAACCAGAGCCCTCCACCCGCATTGCTTCCCCCCAAGCTGGCCTCCTGCTCCCCCCTCTTCGCTCACTCTGTGCTGCTCTGAAGCCCCATGGAGCAAAGCTGTGCCTCCTGGCCTTTGCACTTGCCAGTCCCTCTGCCTGGGATACTTTACCCATCTGCACGACTGACCCATCCACCTTCTCTTCGCCTCCATATTGAACCCCAACTTCTCTGATTTCACAGCTTTGGGCTTTTTGTTTCTTATTGCTACACTGATGTACTTCTAAGTTCATTAAACTGTGGTAGAGTGCTTGCCTTGAGCTGAAGAGCTCAGGGACAGCACCTAGGCCCAGAGTTCAAGCCCCATGACCAACAAAACAGAAACCAAAAACCAGTCTGTACACACAGCAGGTTTGAACAACTACAAAAAAAAAACCCAACATTTCTTCAGTAAGGGCTATAGGTCCACACACGTGTGTGCGTGTGTGTGTGTATGCGTGCGCACGCATGCTTGCACCAGTTTTGGGGCTTGAACTCAGGACCCTGTGTTCTCACTCTCACCTTTCACTCAAGGCTGGCACTCTACCACTTCAGCCACACCTCCACTTCCAGCTTTTTGCTGGTTAACTGGCAGTTAACCATGTCTGCCTGAGTTGTCTTCAAACTGGGAAACTCCTATCTCAGCCTCTCAGTTTCCTAGTTAGTTGGATTATAGACATGAGCCACCAGCACCAGGCTGAATCTATTCTTTCTATCAGCCAGTCTTTGCAAGTTGGAAACGTAGTGACATGTTTGACTTAAGCCCTTCTTAGATTCCTTTGTCCTGGGGGTGAAACTCCAGCACTGGGGGCAGTGTGGCCTCATGTGAATCCCCCCCCGCCACCAATTAAGCTTTTATAGTCCTGATCATCATCATGATCCCTCAGCCTCAGGACCTCTGCACATTTCCTCTTCCCAATTCACATCTTCCCCGTTCACCCAGCTCACGTTCTATGAATATACTCCATGTACCCCGACAACTTTGTGAGTGGGGGCAGCACAGAGGAGCCAACCCACAACCCTGTGACCTTCTGGGCCCATGTGGCAGTCCTGAGCTCAACGCCACCTGTTCTCTGGCTCTGTCACTGGCTGTCAGTGTCTCGTGGGAGCCTTAGAGACACCATCCAGTGTGGATCTCTCTCCTGCCAGCAGAGAATGGGATCTGTCTTCAGATCAAGGGGAGATGCCCCTGTGGTTGGTGACAATGACAATGTGGTTGGTGCCTGGGAGGCTGGGTGGAGTTGTGTCCCCTCTGTCCGTGGCCTGGGTGGTGACCCAGTGGGTGGTTCCTTCCTGGGCAGGGTACAAGGCGGAGGTGACGGTCAGCCAGGTGTACGCCGGCAGCATCCGGGTCCTCAATCGCCACTTTTCCCAGGACCTGGCCCGCAGGGAGTCCAGCGCCTTCCGCGGTGAAAGTGCCAAAGCCCAGAAGATGGTAAGCAATGGGGAGGGGGGACTGGAGAGAGGGGCAGCAGGGGCCTGGTAGGGGTGCTCGCAGGGTCACAGCTCCGTTTAGGCACCGGGAGACTGGACAGCTAGGCAGGGCGGGTCTGGGTAGCACGCTGGCATTGGAACCCCATCATGAGGCTGTGGGTACCATTAGGGTTTTAAGAAGAGCTGGTTGTGCCTGGGTCCCTGGAGGGAGAAGAGGGGGCTGGGTGAAGGTGGGAGCTGCAGCGGTGCCCATGGGGAGGGGGAGGGACAGCCTGGCCTGGAACGGGGAAGGGGACCAGGCATGAGGTTTGTAGGATGGGGGGGAATCTGAGGGGGCCAGGTCACTAGCGGGGTGCAATCCTCCTTGCAGCTAAAGGAACTCATCTTCAGCACCCGCCTGGGCGCTTTCTACAACTCCAGCTCTGTCTACTCCTTCGGGTGAGCTGTCCCCGCCCAGCACCCCCCCCCCAACTTCAGTCCCCAGGGCATGAGTCAGAAGAGGCCTCAGGCACTGCTGCAAATGGAGAAACTGAAGGACTGAGAGGGAGCTTGCTTCCTGCCTACGGCCCCCTTTCTCTGAGCTCAGTTTCCCCGTGTGAAGCATAGGCATGGGGTGGGGGGGGGTTGGTGGACAGACTGGTGTGCTGTGGTGGTGGTGGGCACAGATGGGCCTGGCAAGCCATAGCTGAGGCCAGGGTGGGAGGGGCTGATGGACAGCCTGGGCCTCAGGTTCAGCCCTTCCCTGCATGATCTATGGCATCCAAGCAGACCTCCTGTGCCTCAGTTTCCTCTCCTGTAGTGAGGGTGGGGAGAGTCAAATATGGGGCTTGGAAACACTCATGAGGCCCGGGCCATGGTCGGTTCCTCTCCCCGCCCCTGCCCTGCAGAGCCGGGCAGGAGAAGCCGAAGTCTCCTCCAGCCTCTGTCCCTCCCATCTGCCTGTCCTAGGGAGGGGCCCTTCACCTGCTTCTTCTGGTTCATTCTCCAAATGCCGGAGCACCGCCGGCCCATGCTGAGCCCCGAGGTGGTGCACACGCTGCTGGTGGAGGAGCTGCTATCTGTGGCCAACAGCTCGGCCCCTGTTTCCTACAGGGAGGAGTACGAGCTGGACCCCGAGGGCCTGGTGATCCTCGGTCAGTACTGGGAGGGGGACACGTGTGGACCTGCGAGACAGGGGAGGCTGTGTGTGGGAGGTGTTTAGGACACCCCAGCAGGAGAGCCAGGCCAGAGAGCCGGGTGGAGGCATTCATACTCAGTCTCAGACCAGCCTGGCTCTGATCCCCTGATCTGCCACACACCGTTTTTTATTTTTCACTGCATTTTACTTTATGTTCCGTTCTTATTTGTTTGTCCCTTTCCTTTTTAACAGAAACCAGCGTGAAAGACATAGTTGAGCTGAATTCCACGCTGGGTACGCGACTTTTATTTATTTATTGAGTTTCTCCCTTTCCTACTTTCCTTTGTGTTGAAGTTTTCCTTGGCCTCTTTTTTTTGGGGGGTGGGGTGGGGACATGTGGCTTCTATTGTGGATCCTGGGAGCCCTAGACCAGGCCAGGCCAGGTGAGCTGGACAAAGGACTCAGAGCAAGGCTGGCGGTGCTGGCGTGAACAAGTGTGTGTCTTGTATGTGGACGTGTGTGTTGCCTGTTAGGTCGAGCGGCTGGGTTATCCTGGTGCACAAGCTAGGGTGCTGCCCATGAAGTGGTCTGTAGACTCCTGGAGTTGTGCAGTGCACTGCTGGGCAACACTTCCGTGTTGTCCTGAACACAAGCCCTTGAATGTTCCCATTCTTTTTATACCGTCTGGAATTTCCACCCAGAGTGGAGGCAGGAGGGAGCATTCCAACCCTTTCAGAGAGAGGCAGGGGGAAAGCTTAGCGAGACCTTTCCTGCTCTTCCCTTCTCCGGACCTGCTAATCACGTGCACACTTACTGCTATGGTTGGTGGAAGGGCATGCTGGCGACCAAGGCACAACTTCCAAAAAAAAAAAAATCAAGGGGCTGGGAAGGTGGCTCAGTGGCAGAGCGCTTGCCTTGCATGCCTGAGGCCCTGGGTTTGATTCCTCAGCACCACATAAGCAAAAAGAAAAAAGCCAGACTTGGTGCTGTGGCTCAAGTGATAGAGTGCTAGCCTTGAGCTGAAGAGCTGAGGGACAGCGCCCAGGCCCAGAGTTCAGGCCCCACGACTGGACCCAAAAAAAAAAAATCAAATCAGAGACTGGAGTCAGGTAGTTACCTGTGGCTCACACCTCTATATAATCCTTATAATCCTAGCTACTTTTGCAAGGCCGGGAATCAAGATTTAAGTTAGAAAAGTTTAATGGGATTCCCTCCCAGCCCCGACGCTTCTCAACCTATAGCTGGGTGCAGTGGCCATGAGCTTGTCAACCCAAGTGACATGACAAGCTGTGATCAGGAGGTTTACAGGTCCCGGCCAACCCAGGCAGAGACGTTCACAAGACTCTTTCCCCCTGGGAGTGAAGCTGGACATGGTGGCCCATGGCAGCCAGCCCAAGAAGGCACATGGTGATTCTAGCAGGTGCCCGGGCAAGCAGTGAGGCCCTAGATCTAAAATAACCCTCAGAAAATGCTAGAGGCATGGTTCAGCACTATCCCGCCAGCCTAGCAGACTCAAAAGATCCTGAGTTCAAGCACAACTACAGCCAAAACTTAAAAAATGCAGACTGGGCACTGTCCTGTTGTAGTGCAGGGAGCTCCCCTGGGGCTCGGAGGTCTTCGCTTCAGCCTGCAGCCTCGGGATGTGCTGATGGGCTTGGGGGGGGGGTAAATCCAAGCCCATCAAGGTGGCTGAGCACCTTGAGAAATACTGGCCAGAGTGCAGACAAGGAAGCAGGGAGTCCAGAGCCCAGCCCTGCCCTGGGCCCTTCTTGTGAGTTCCAAGGAGACCTCTGCTTCCTCCTGGGCCGGGCTATGGGAGTCTGAGGCCCTGTCACAAAGTTCTAGGCCAGGAGCCCAACTCCACACATTCTGCATGGCAGTCCAGCCATTCCCTGCCACCACCTGGAGAGGCAGAGTGAGTGCTTCAGCTCATCTTTAGGTGCAGAGGCAGCCTTAGGTTCAAACAGAGGAGGTACAGGGGCAGGGCAGAGGGTGCACTGGAGGGGGCTGTCTAGTTCCCAGAAGATGCTTTGTCTGCATTCCAGGTCACCGGCCTCATTGGGGGAGGCGGGAGGGAAGAGGAAGCTCTGTCTTGCCAGGCTCTGGGTACAGTTTTTGATCCTTTTGTCATTAAGATACTGTCACTCAGTCCTGTCCTTCCTGGAATCCAAGGGACAGAAAGAGGAAGAGACAAGAGACTCTACCGGGCTGTCAAGCTTGGCTGCTACCTTCTGTTAGCTAATAAGCCCACGTTAGAACTGGGTGCGTCTCAGCAAATGCAGATTCGATGTCTTTTACAGTCTCAGTCTAGTCTGCCTGCTTTGAAATGGCTCCTTTGGAAGTCCCAGGCAGCAGTTAGCGTGGTCAGCCTGGGATCACCCCAGGACAGCCCTGCTGGGCTCTGGTGGGAATTGAAATTGAGGTAGAGACTGGAAGGAAGCTAGGACCAGCTGCAGCTCTGCGGGCCCAGCTTCCCATCCGCCTGCTTACATTCGTGCGTGGGTGCGAGTGTGGCTTGGCCTGCACCGTGTTGCCTCTGATTTGTGGGTATCCCCATGTCTCTGGACATCCTTCTGTGCCTGTCTTAGTGCCCACTGGAGCCCCTGGGCACAGTGGCTCAGGGCCAGGTGACGACTGGGACCCTCTGGGATGGCTTTCTGAGTTCTTCCTCCAGGCCAGGCTCGCCTTGCAATGCATGCTGGGTACTCAGGGCCCTTGAAGTTCTGGATGTAGCCTCTGCTCACACTGTGACCCTCAGGCCGTGCTCTGAGCCATTGCCTCCAGAGTCCTCCTTGCCTGCCTTGGCTCTTATCTGCTATTGTCCTCCAACCAGCGCCCAGCCCTCCCTCTCTCCGGGCTCATGTGGCATGCGGAGTTGAGTGAGCTTGCTGAGTGAGTGAATGATTGACTGTGGAGGAGTGCGTGGATGAGGGAATGGATGGAGAGGCACGCTGGTGACATCCCTCTCCTGGCATCCTGGCCTAACAGTGTCTGCCTTTTCCCTCTGGGGTCTGTCCCTCCCCGCTCCAGGCTGTTACCGCTACACCTACGTGGGCCGGGGCCAGGCCCTCCGGCTGAAGGGGCCCGATCAACTGGCCTCCAGCTGCCTGTGGCACCTGCAGGGCCCCGAGGACCTCATGCTCAAGCTGCGACTCGAGTGGATGCTGGCTGAGTGCCGAGACCGCCTGGCCATGTACGACGTGGCCGGGCCCCTAGAGAAGCGGCTCATCACCTCGTGAGTCCTGAGGCAGACAATGGAGGGACCTGGGGGGTCAGAGGTCACATTCAGGGCGTTGAGGCCGGGGTAGTGACCTCAGAGCTGGGGATCTAGCCTAGAGGGGAGGAAAAGGGGAGCCTGGAAAGGGTGATGTGCCACAGGCACCCCATTCCCCTTCCTAAGCCTCAGTTGTTCTAAGGCTGAGGCTGTGGGGCCCTCCGGCCTGTTGGAGTTCTCCAGAGTCTAGCAGCAGTCTGGACCTTCAGTTCCCTCTGTGGCTTCCTAGGAGGCACAGGGCTTTGCCTCCCCCCCCCTCCCTGCCCCAGCCTTGGTTGTCTCAACTGGGACACGGGTGCACCTGCCAGGGTCAGTGCCACCCTCCTCAGGTACAGCCAATGCCCGCCATTACCACCATCGTTCTAGATGGTCTAGTTGGGACCCAGCAATACCGGAGCAGTGTGGAGTTCAGCAGTTGGTAAGTGGAGCCATTGAAAGGTCATGAGCAGAGGAGTCAGGCCCTGGGACATGGAGTATGGGGTGAGGACAGAAGGGCAGGGGGTAAGGCAAAGGGATGGGCTGGAAGTGGCCTTGGGCCCAGGGTCTGGCCCCCTTCTCCTCTAGGGTCTTGCAGAAGATGGGCCAGGCTGCAATGGTGGCTGTATACTTTGTGCCAGGCACAGGACCTGCTGTTGCTGGCGGGGGATGGGGGGTGGGCAAGGACCTGCTGTTGCTGGCGGGGGGTGGGGGGTGGGCAAGGGCGTGGGGGGGTGTATTCAACTTGCAGGAGATGGAGGGAGAAGATTCTGTATGTGCAGATTAAAGCTCTCCTTAATGTGAGCCGGGAACCATGCTCCCCAAGCCTTTGAGAATCCAGCTCTGAGGCCCCAGGGCCCCGCTCCTTGCCTCCTGTGACCCTGATCTGGCTGGTGTGTGAGAAGCTCAGAGGCTCTGGGCGCCATCTGATTTCCAGGCTTCTCCTGGGGCTTTCCAGTGCGCTCCCTCAGCCTGCTTCCAGATCCCCCTGTTCATGGGGACTCCAGCATCACTCCCTTGTGTATGTGTTGTGGGGGGTGGCTAGGGTCCTCAAACTCGCACCCCAGGGCTGTGTTGGGGCCAACAAGACTTTAATGGGCAGAGGGGCACCACCTAGTCTTAACCCCGTTCCTCATTTCTGAGCTCTATACTTCCTTTACAAGAGTTGGTGAAAGTTACTGCAGAGAGTCCTCAATAGTAAGAGCTGAGGCCCCCCACAAAGTTGAGGGGCCTCCTGGATCTCCTGGTGCCAGTTCCAACCAACAGATACCTAGGTAATGGATGAAGAAATCTCCATACAGTGGTAGCTCATATTTAATATTTTAATATTAATTAATATTCCAATACTCCCATAGGGTGAGGAACGGGTATAACTGGCAGACATGGTTAAACCAAAGAAGTCTCCAGGCCCTCTGCTTTTATAGTGTCAGATTGTTCTAGAAGGGAATGGAGCAGAAGGGCATATTCAAGCCAGGCAATGGTGGCTCAAGCCTATAATCCTAGCTACTCAGGAGGCTGAGGATCATGGTTCCAAACCAGCCTGGGAAGGAAAGTCTATGAGGCTCTTATTGCCAATTAATCACAAAAAAGGCTGGAAGTGATGCTGTGGCTCAAGTGGTAGAGTGCTAGCCTTGAGTAAAAGAACCTCAGGGACAGCACCCAAGCCCTGTGTTCAGGCCCCAGGACTGGCAAAAATAAAAACAAGCAAACAAACAAAGGGGCAGATTCCAAGAGGTAGATAACAGGGTACCAGGAAGCAGTAAGATCGGTAGTTTGGGTAAAGGAATCTGGGAAGCAGTGAAATGGGCTACACGTGCAGGTACTGACAAGATTACTGCAGAAGGTCAGACTCTCTACAACCACACAGCCCGGTTTTCCCCTGAGCATCATTCATTCTCCAAGCACACTGGTCAGATCTCCTGCAGCCAGTCTCAGGCCCAACAGGGCCGTAGGGTTTCCCCTTCCTGGAAGCTGAGGTTGGGAGGTGGGCTGAGCTGGTGGGGAGGAGCAGGTCAGTGCTGAAGGCTGAATGGGGAGAGGGCTTTGACAGGGTCTGTGGCTACCACTGCAAGATGGAAAAGGTAGCGGTGAGGGCAGGTTCCCCAGTGGGGGGTTGATCCTCTGCCAGGCTCCTGGGGTGCAGAGTTGAGGCTCGTGGAGGGGCTCAGGTACTCGCCCATGGATGCCTCTATTTCTCCCATGGATGCCTTTGGCCAGACCAGGAGACAGCTGTGAAGCCAGGGTGGCCAGTTTCCTGCATCTTGGTCTGTTTAGGTAAAGGGATGGGAGAGTTAGGACGCCCCTGGCATGTGGGGAGCACCCACATGTGTGGGAGGGGTCCAGCACATGCCTCTCCTTGCCAGTGATAGGTGGGGCCTAAGCTTGTCCATCTGGAAAGCAAGCAGTTGACCTCAGCAAGCCGGGGAGACAGTCGATCACGGCTGACATGGGACTTCAGCTACTCTGGGATGCCAACATGCTAGCCTTGCTTGCTTCTTCTGAGTCTCCCAGGAACCAAGCTCAGAGTAGATGCTGGGGGGGTCCTGGGATCCCTAGGCACCAGACACACATGTTCTCTCCCTGACCTAGCCCCAAAGGTCAGGGGTTAAGATGGGTAGCCCATGAGGACGGCAGCCGGGTCTCCTTGCCAGGAGACTGATTAGCCTGGGGGACCCGCGGGACAAGGTCACTGCCACAGCTGGATTGTAAGCACCAAGCCTGGAGTCTGCTCCTCTCTTTCTGGGGAGCTGGTTGACCTTCAGAGGGCCTCCAGCTGGTCCCCAGGACTCAGAGAAGGTGGACCGACCAGGGGTACAGGCCCTGTGTACCCTCTTCAACCCTCCTGGGGGCTCGGTGGGGCTCTCGCTGCCCCCTCCTTGCGCAGACCTGGGCCTCGCTGGAACCATTCTCCATTCCTCCAGGGTCTATGGCTGCAGCCGTCAGGAGCCCGTGCTGGAAGTCCTGGCGTCAGGTGCCACCATGGCTGTGGTGTGGAAGAAAGGCCTGTACAGCTACTTAGACCCCTTCACGCTCTCTGTGCAGCCTGTGGCCTTCCAGGGTGAGGGGTCCCTGGGGAGGGGAGCAGGGGTGGGACAAAAGACACACTCTCAGGAGAGAGAAGGTTCTAGAAGCTCCTTGGCTTGCTGCCTGCTCCCATAAGAAACTTCTCCCATCTTCTTCCTCATGCCCCTCCCCCCATCCAACCTTTGGCCTCCTCTCTCTTCTCCTCTTTTCTCCCCTCTCTCCTCCCTCCCCTCCTCTCACTGTATCCCTGCTTCTTTCTTACTCTCTCCTCCTCCCTGCCGGCCCTGTCTGTCTGTCTGTCTGCAGCAGGCCTGAGAACTGGCAGGTTCAGCCCCAGGCCATCCTCAGCCCTTGGAGAAGGTGTCAAGAGCAGATCTCCCCTTCCTATGTCCACCCGTGGCTTTTCCCCAGACCCCACAGGCCCTCCACCTGCCCACCCCACTCTGTGCCCTGCTGGCTCCTGGGCTGGCAGAGTCTTTTCTGGAGCTGTGGAAGGGAGGCATGCTTTCCCTCCCCTCCCCGCCCCGCCCCTTCCTTCCCAGTGCCCCTCCCTTCCAGGCCAATGCTAGGAGGTCCAGCCATGACCCCCAGCTGGCCTCTCCTGGTTTCTCTGGCACAGACAGGAGCGGAGGCGGTGAGGGGACTTGGCAGCCTTAGGCCTGACTCCGCCAAGCCTCCTTCGCCCTCCTTGTCTTAGAAAAGGAGACAGACTCCCTCCCCAGCTGCCACAGCTGAGGCTGGCCAGTTGGCAAACCCACCTGTGAACTGCTCCGTGCGGGGCCACCATCAGTGGCTGATAGTTATGGAGCACTTCCGGGGTCCCCATTTTGCAGATAAGGAAACTGAGGCTGCCCTCACACGGTCGCACCGGATCACACACTTGGCCATTCAGGCAGTGGGGTGCCAGGGTGCTCGCTGACCCTAGCCTGATGGGCAGCATGGTGGGGTGGGCCCAGGGGCTCGGCCTAACCTGCTGACCATTCTCCTGCCCAGCCTGCCAGGTGAACCTGACCCTGGAGGGCCGCCTGGACCTGCAGGGTGTCCTCAGCACCCCCTACTTCCCCAGCTACTACTCGCCCAGCACCCACTGCTCCTGGCATCTCACGGTGAGCCCCGCCTCCTCCAGATCGCCACCCTGTGCCCAGAGTGCCTTCCTGGGGCCTGGACGGGCGGGGGAGGGGTCCTGTCCATGTCCGCCGAGACCAGGGTCTCCTGTGCACCACAGCGATGCCTGTTTGTTCTGGTGGTCTACCTTCTCTCTGTGCTGTCTGGGAAGGTGGGTGCCCCAACCTGCCCTGGTGCCGAGGGTCACGTGGGGACCTGCCACTCTCTCCCAGGTGCCATCTCTGGATTACGGCCTGGCCCTGTGGTTTGACGCCTATGCCCTGCGGAGGCAGAAGTACGACCTGCCCTGTACGCAGGGCCAGTGGATTATCCAGGACAGGAGGTACACCGAGGGGCTCCTTGATCCCCCTCTTCCGCCGGGGCCCAAGGCCAGGCCCCAGGGGCCAGCTGTGGAGATGCTGGACTCAGTCTCTGGCCCCAACTCTCCTCCTAGGGCCTCTGAGAGGCCTGAGGCACACATTGATGGCTTGAGTGGCATTGTAGTCAGGGTGGGCTGGCCGCTTCACCTGGGTGCTGAGCCCGTCAGACACCCTGACATGGAGTCTGTGGAGATGATGGGCGGGGCCAAGACGCAGAGTACCCGCGGCCTCGGTCACAGCCCCTCACGGCCTGTAGAGCTCCTGTGCTTCCGCACAGCAGAGACAGACCCCAGCTTAGGAGCTTTGGTCCCTGCCCCCCTCCCCTGCAGGACAAAGGGGGGTGGGCAGGGGCTCAGACATCTCTCCTCTGCTGGGAGTGGAGGGAACTAGGAAATTCTGGGAGGCACCACCCGTCCATGTGCGCACGCTGGACGCTCTGTGGATTGGCCAAAGGGAGAAGGGGTGGCGGCCACTGGGGAGCGGACAAGAGGGGCAGGAGGACTGGAAGGAGGGGCCCGGATCCCACTGTGGGGGAGGGAGAAGTATGGGGAGGAGGGGGAGTCTGAAACTGCCATTGCTGAGCAGGGGTGAGGTGAGGGGGGCCGGCCCCAGGTGTGAAGGCTCACCTTGCCAGTGGGGAGTCCAGGCTGGAGGCAGCCGCTCTGCCTCCCTTCCCATGTGTGGCCTCGGGCTCTGACGGGTGAACTTACAACGCAACGGTAGATGGCTTGATTTCTTGGCTTCACAAATTTTGAGCCTCTTTGGAAGGCTCGAGCTTTCTAGGATTCTGTGTATTGCTGCTGCACTGTCACTTGTATGTTCAAAGGCCCAGCCAGAACCAAGGTGTCAGGGCCACCCTGCCTGTCGTGGATGCCCAGCCCCTCACCCTCACCCAGGCTGAGCGGTGTGGGGCTCACCCCGCTGGGTCAAGTCCGGAGTAACAGGAGCTGGCCCGTGACGCAGGTTCTGTGAATGGAGGTGCAGAGTTGCGCTGTGTCCTTCGCTCTGGTGTCTCAGAGCCCTGTGGGGAGCGGTGATGGGGACCGGGCTCTGCAGAGTTGATCTTCAGGGGACTCTGTGCCCAGCACCGGCATCAGCAATGGTCACCTCCCTAGGGAAGGGTGTGGGGGGGGGGTTCCAGGAAGAGCAGGCACCAGGTGAGGCCACAGTCGGGCCTGTGTCGTCTCCAACCACAGACAGTGACACGTGCGTGGGTCACCCTTGCTGCCACATGGGGCCTGTAGCTGGGAGGAGCTGGCGAGGATCGGGGCGAGGGGCTCCCCAGAGGCAGTGATAGGGTGGATTTTGTTGTTGCTGTTGCTTATAATTTTTTTTTGCCATTACTGGGTTTGAATTCTGGAGCCATGTGCTTGCGAGGCAGGCGTTCTACCACCTGATTCATGCCTGCAGTCCATTTTTTGCTTTAGTTATTTTTCCAGCAAGGTTCCTAGTTCTTACTCAGGGCTGTCTGGGCCTTCATCTTCCTGCCTCTGTCTCCCAGGTAGCTGGGATTACAGGCGTGCATCACAAGAGTTTTAATGTGGAACTCGGATGGGAGGATCTTCATTAAAAGTTAACCAAGGGTTGAGGTGGAGCCAGAGGCCCAAGTTCCATTCCAGCGGGGGGAGGGGGGGAGGAAGTCTCCCCCATCCCCACTATTTCTGACCCTCTGATCTGAACCGTGTGTGATGGCCTGGACATCCAGCCTAGTCCTCGCCACTGAACAGGGAGGGGAACGGAAGCCTAGGGAGGGCTAGGGTCTATCCTTGTCTTCTCTGCCTTTAAGCTGGGGATGGATTTCAGGGTGCAATGGCAGGGTTGCGGGGGTGGCAGGGTGAGGCCAGGCAGCATTCGCCTCCCCCTGGGGTGGTGAACAATGCTCATAGGAGTCTGGCCATCGGGGTTCTGCTGGAACTCTGGGCACCCCTGTCATCTGTGGGGGTAAGTGTGACAGGAACCCACATTCCAGAACTTCTGCTTCCTACTTGGGCAAGGACTCACCTCTCCTGGCTGCGGGGGGGGGGGCGGGGGGGAGGAGGGGACTCATGTCCAAGGCGAGGGTGAGGGCTGGGCGTGGCTCAGTGGTGGAGCACCTGCCCAGCATGCATCAGGCCCCAGATTCCAGGCATGAACATCAAAGAGTGAAAAACAGTAAAAAGCTAGTTCCCGCGCCGGCCCAGACACGGCCCAGCTCCGCGTGGTGCTGCTGACGGGCTCTCCAGCAGCACCCGGCAGGCTTGGAGCTAAAGGCATTACCGTCTCCTTTGGCCTCAGCAAGGCACGGGAAGCGGATGCAGCGTCCAAGTCTGCTTTCTGTGGCGAGGACAAAATGTCAGAGACAGAGTCGTGTGTTAGGAACAGAGGTTTGTGTGCCTCACAGCTGCAGAGGTCACGAAGTTCAGGAGCCCAGAGCTGGCATCTGCCCAGCCTCCGGGTGAGGCCTTGGGTTGGCATCACATGGCCAGGGCGTCACATGGTAAGACAGAGCCGCCCTGGCTTTTGTAACAGACCCGTTGGGTAAATCCATCCGTGCATTCATCCACCCGGTGCCTGGCATGGGAGGGAAGACGCAAGTGGCCACCTTCAGTTTCGGAAGCCCCAGGCCGGCCCTCCTTGGGGTGCCGTGGGGTTTGATCATGATCACCCCATGTGGCTGGATGCTGGAAAGTTCTGTGAATGAGCTAGCACTTGCTGGAAAATCAGCTGTGTGGGTGGTGGACGGGGGCGGCCGCGTGGGGAGGGGCTTTGGGGGTGGGGAGGCGGGAGCCATCATCACGGCAGAGGGGTCTGAGCCTCCCTGAGCAGCTGGCAGTGTAGTGATAAGGAAGGCGGGTTGGGCACCTCACCTGCTGCCCTGAGTCCTTGGTCTTCCTCTCCTGACTTCCTGTTTCCACGTAGCCAGACAGAGCCCCGGCGCCCTTTAGCGACTTGTGCTGTTGAGATGTAGCTTCTGGCCCCCTGGTTTCCCAGAACCCTCTCTCCCCCGTGGCTCAGGCTTACCCCCTTCCCGGAACCCCCCCCCTCGCCTGCTTCCTCTGCTGTGACGTCTTTCTCTTGTGATCTGCCCGATCATTTCCATCACTGCCAGCCATGAGGTCAGACAGAGCTGCAGCCACCCCCTCCCCAGGCCCACGGGAGCCCCCCTGGGGCCGGCCTGACCCTTCTGCTCCCCCAAGCCCTTGGGTGGCCAGCAACCACCTGTAGCTACACCATGTCTGGTGCCCATGCTGAGGATGGCACTGGCGGCAGCCGGGGCTGGGCCTGCAGCTGGCCGTGTCAGCACAAGTTTTCCTAGAAACCGCCAGCTCGGGTCCTACCTGGAACATCGGCTGGGGGTGGGGACGTCACCCTGTCATGCCAAGGCTGAGTCACGTACCCAAGGTCACACCCGATGTGTCGGGTGGCAGAGCCAGCCCTCCACCTCGGCTCTGCGGCACCATGGTCAGTGTGCTGGCCCCCCGGGTGTTGCCGCTGCCCCCTGGTCAGCGCTGCTGCCCTGACCTTACTGTCCCTCCACCTGTGCACCCCCCTTCCTCCCACTCCCCTCCCACCCTTCCAGCCAGCCACCCACCCCATAGTTTTCTACTTCCTCAGGGCATCTCTGCTGCTTGTCTAGGAGAGGCAGGAGGGGGGAGAGGTGACAGTGAACCGGGGGGGGCCTCTCACCCCGCCAGGCATTCCGCAGCTCCCGGTTATCATGTCACATCTGTGGACCGCCTGTAAAAAAGGCCCTCTTCAGGTTAAGTGACTCGGAGTGAGTTAGGCACTATAGCCCTTGAACTCTTGTATGTCTCCCACTAAGAAGACATGTGTCCCCCAAAGGCTGTCTGGGGAACAAGATGCTGGGGTACAGGGTTGGGTCCCGTGGGAAGCCTATGCCAGCCTGGCATGGGGCAACCATGTCGCTTCATCCAGGTTGAAATGTTCTGTTCCCTCAAACCAGCTCTGAAACCTCCTTGTGTCTCCACAAGTTCCATATGGCCCTGTGGGGAACAGTGAACCCACCCTCTCGGAATTCTAGATTTGTCAGAGCTGACTGCAAAAAAAAAAAAAAGCTGTTTTCTTAGCTGGAAAGGGCAGGGGCCAGGCTTGCTCTGCGGCGCCCCCTGGTGGGGCCTCATCCCTGTTGGGTGCAGCCTGGCTGTGGGGATCCTGGGGCAGGAAACCCTGGTTCAGGGTTCAGTTTCTCTCTCCTGACCCTTTTACCTCCTTTAAAATGATTGCTCTCCTAAAGCAGATTTTCCTTAGACAGGTGATAGGCCCATCGTTACAGTGTTAGTTATTAAACCCGAGAACATTTTGAAATATTTATTATGGTAGTTGCTCTGGTCTCTCGTACCTATGGTAAGCTGTGATCTAAAAATAGTAAGTAGAAAATTCCAGAAATAATTGATGAGGGCTCAGGATCTTTTTCTGGCCTGTCAAGTGCTCCTCTTGTGATGGAATGCTTTTTTTGGGGAGGAGGGGTTCATTGGAGATAAGAGTCTCATGGACTTTCCTGCTCAGGCTGGCTTTGAACCACAATCCTCAGATTTCATCCTCCTGAGTAGTTGGGATTATAAATGTGAGCCACTGGTGCACTGCCTGTTTTGGAATTCTGAGGGACCAGACAGCCAGCTGGCGGTGAGGAGGGGTTTGTGTGATGGACAGCCCCACTGTACAGGGCAAACTCCCTACCTGGCTCTTTCTAGTTTCCCATCCGGGGGCCATTTCGGCCTTCCTGCATTTGGAGTACAGCTCCCCCCGGCAGTCATTCCTATTTGCTCGTGGGGTGCTCCCTTTCCTGGGGGTCATCCCTGGGGGGCGTTCGCACTTGGGATGGATGAGCAGCTGTTCTGTGGGGAGGGCCCCACCACGATATGAAGGATTCTTGGGTGCCCTGACCCAGCCCAGAGATGGGAAGTCTCCCTCCTGGCCTCTGGGGAATCTGTTTCCTTGTGGCAGCTGCCCCCCTCCATCTTCTCTTACTTGAACAGAGCGTCTTCCCCCAGGGACAAAGGGGTCACCTGGATGACCCCTACTTGGAGAGCAGCCCGTGGACTCTGTAACAGGGTCCTAGAGAAAGGACCCTGGAGCCCAGAGAGTCCCAGAACCCACCAGGGTTATGGAGCCAGCCCGCCAGCCCAGCCAGTGCTCGGATGGGGAGACAGCGGCCCCTCACCCCACACAGCACAGCACAGCCCTCCCATCAGGGCAGCCAGGGTCCCTTGCTTCTTCTGACCTGTGGAAGGTGTTGCCAGATCCCAGGTAGACCCAGGTGAACGTTTCCTAATCAAACGAGCAGGAGGAGCAAGCCTCAGGGACAACCCTTTCTTGCTAGAGTCTCAGCTCACCAGTGATTGGCTGGAATCTAGACTGTGAAAGTATGGGGGTGGAGAGGGGGATGGGCACTGAAGGCCCTGGAGCAAAGGGACAGGCTGCTTTCTAGAAGATAGCTCTGAGAGTGAGTAGAAATCAAGAGAGAAGGAGTGTGGGTGGCGCGGCAGCTCCCCATTGCTTGGGGCTGCCCTGTCTACACATGGACCCTGGTTGTGCTTTGCCTTGAACTGGGAAAGCAGCCCCTGTGTCCCTGAGTCACCTCTGGCCCCCACCCCCACCCCCAGGCTGTGTGGCCTGCGTACCCTGCAGCCCTATGCTGAGAGGATCCCTGTGGCAGCCTCCACCGGCATCACCATCAACTTCACATCCCAGATCTCGCTCACGGGACCCGGCGTGCAGGTGCACTACAGCTTGTACAACCAGTCAGACCGTGAGTACAGGAGGCAAAGCTCAGCCCCTGTCCCTGAACCCCTGCGGCCTCTCCTGCAGCCTCCTGGACAGGAGGGACTGCGTTACGTGTGTGTGTGTGTGTGTGTATGTGTGTGTGCGCGCGCGTGTGCACACGAGCACACAGATGCACACGGCTTTGGGTGTAGCACCTACAGGCTGCGATGTGTATTCAAAGGCAAATACACTCTCATCTATCCACAGGCATGTTTTGTGCATGTGTCTGGATGTGGGTACCTGGAACCATTGTGTACCCAGGTGCCCAGAAGCAGATGTCTGTGGGCACTTGCCATGCATGTGTGAGAACAGAGGAGCATGCATCTCTGCATGTGTTGCCTGAGGGTGCGTATCCTAACGGTGCCTTCCTTGTTTCCATGGCCGTCTGTGGGTGCCCAGCCTGCCCGGGAGAGTTCCTGTGCTCTGTGAATGGCTTGTGTGTCCCAGCCTGTGATGGCATCAAGGACTGCCCCAATGGCCTGGATGAGAGGAACTGTGGTGAGCAGGCTCACCCGCCCCGCCCTCCTCCCGCCGGCTTCCCTGCACTGCTCTGAGCTACGCTCCCCAATTATGAGCACCCCAGAAGTGAGGGATTGCCACTGCGCTAAGAGGACAAGATGGAAGCAGAGTGGGCCACCACGGGGCAGTGCCAGCGACAGGCTGGGTCTCCTGATCAGCCATCTGCCCTGGCCAGGTGTCCCAAAAGGAGCAGGGGTGGCCGGGGAGAGGGGAGAGGGCCGGGCCACCAAGGGGGAGGTCCTCAGGGAAGGTGAGCATTCTCCTACCGTTCCACACCAGGAGCTCAGAGGGGCTGCTGTCAACGCTTCCTGCCTAGCCCTGAGGTGCAGCTCAGGGTCCTGCTGCTTCCCCAGACCAATAGCTCTCTCCTAAATTCTGGCTCCTGCTCCTACAGCCACCATCCAGGTGGCCAGGCAGGAGACACTTCTAGCACACCCCTTGTTTTCAGTCTATGGGGAGAGAGGTCAGAGAGGGGGATGTGCACCCCTCCGGAGGAATCCACCAGGGGGCTGGGAAGAGGCTCCTTTCCTGGTGCTCAGCCAGGTCACCCGTGACAGGTCATGTCAGGTCTGTTACCACCAGTGTAATGGAAGGGGAGAGGGGCTGTCTCAGCAAGTTGCTGTGAGAGCCAGGCACCCAGCGTGGAGGATTTGAGATGGGTACAGTGTGGTACAGTGCGTGTTCCAGGGGCGGCGCCAGTTTCCAGCCTGGCCCTCGGCCCCGTCCCACCTGCCACGCTCTGTCCCCCGCAGTCTGCAGAGCCACATTCCAATGCCACGAGGACAGCACGTGCATCTCCATGTCCAGAGTCTGCGACCGGCAGCCCGACTGTCTCAACAGCAGTGATGAAGAGCAGTGCCAGGAAGGTAGGGAAGGGTCCCACCTCACTCCAGCCCTCTGCATGCCTCCTCTGAGCTTATGCCAGTAAGTCCTTCATCCATCCACCCACCTATCCATCCACCCACCTGGCTGTCCAATCACCGATGCATCCATGCACCTGTCCGTCCATCTATCCATCATCCAGCCACCTACCCTACCGCCTATCACCCATCCATCCACGCACCCCCCCACCCACCTCATCCATCCACCCTCATCCATTCATCTGCCTGTCCATCCACTCACCTATCCATCCATGCATCTGTCCATCTATCCATCATCCAGCCAGTTACCCTACCTACCTTCCTGTCCATCATCCATCCATCCACCCACCCACCTATTTATCCATGCATCTCCCCATCTATCCATCATCTACCCACCCACCCACCCGACTCATCCATCTTCTGGTCTCCAACATCACCCTAACTGTCCATTGATTTGTACAATCATTCAGCCATCCATTTACTGACCTGTCCAACGGCCTCTGCTCCTGTGCACACTCCTTTGCTATGTGTTCAGTAGCTCCCTCCCGAGAGGGGACACAGAGATGTGCTCTCATACCAGCTCGGGGTGGGGAGCCAGGCCCTGCCTGCCCAAGAGCCTAGGGGAGGCTCTGGGGACCCTTCAGGGTGTTCAGGAGACCCTCCCCTAGTCTCCTGGTCTCTCCTGGTGCCACTTTCCCGGGCCTCACTTTGGAAGGGGTCCTTGGGGCTCAGAGTCCCACCCTCGGCGGCCTGCCCCCACCCCTCCACGCCAGGAGTGCCTTGTGGGACCTTCACCTTCCAGTGTGAGGACCGGAGCTGCGTGCGGAAGCCCAACCCAGAGTGCGACGGCCAGCAGGACTGCGGGGACGGCTCCGACGAGCTCCACTGTGGTAAGCACTACTTGGTGTATGTGGCGGGGGGAAGGGGGGGATGTGGCAGGGAGGGGAATCTCCCCCCACCCAAAGCTGCAGGGGGAAAGGGCGCAGCAGGGGCCTGGGAAAGCTGGAGGTGTGGCGGCATGGCAGGGTCCTCCAAGGGCAGCTGGAGAGAATCTCTTACCACATGCCTTCCCATCTCGCGCCATCTCTGTGGACTGGCCTCTCACTATTCTTCCTTCCCTTTGTTCTTTCTCTGTCCCTCTGTTCCTGTCCTCCCCCCCCCCCGTCCCTCCCCAGACTGTGGCCTCCAGGGGCCGTCCAGCCGCATCGTGGGCGGGGCAGTGTCCTCAGAGGGTGAGTGGCCGTGGCAGGCCAGCCTTCAGGTTCGAGGTCGGCACATCTGTGGTGGGGCCCTCATTGCCGACCGCTGGGTGGTGACGGCAGCCCACTGCTTCCAGGAGGACAGGTGAGAGGGTGGCCGGGCCGGGGGAGAGGGGGAGCTGGGAGGAGGTGCGGATGTGCGGATGGAGTGGAGGGGAGGGATGGGAAGAGCCCAGGCTCCACCTGACCGGCTCTGTGTTGCTGGCATATTGCTCAACCGCTCTGTGCCCTTCTTGTGGTGTCTGCCTTCCGGTGGGTCTGTGACTCATCCCCTCAGTCCTTTACACATTCAGCAGTATTTGTTGTGTTCCTACTACGGGCCAAGTGTGTGCTGGATGCTGGGGATACAGCAGCGGGCAAAGCTGCCCCCATGCCCCCTCCATGATGAGTTGTGAGGGGAAGGCTGGGCGGGTCTGGGATGCCCCCCGTGACACCTCATCTGGCACCTAGCTGAGCCCTTCTGCCCATCCGCTTGGTTGGCTGAACTTCCTTGGTGCTTCCCCTCCCTTCCCCCGCCCCATCTGGTCTCCAAACCCCCCAGGCCCCTCCCATGGCAGAGGCAGCTCTCTAGCGCCCTCTGCAGGCACCAGCTAGCTCCCTCCAGATGTGTGTCTTTAACCCTGCTCTGACTCCCCACTGTCCTCAAGGTGAAGGGAGCCCCCACCACACCCCAGGTTGCATGCTAGCTTGGGAAGAGTTCCAGCAGCCCCAGTCTGTAAAGTGGACCCACAGAAAAGGAGAGAAATAGCTGTGGGGTGCCTGGCACTGGGCCGGTTCTGCTACATCCTGCATCTTAGGGGTTCTGTGAAGCTGGGACTGAGGTGGAGGGTGGAGTTCCCTGCATTGAGCCACAGCCTTGATGGGGCAGGGCAGGGCGGACAGGGAGGAGGGAGGGGGAGGGGGAAGGCTGGCTGTCACAGGGCCCCTCCCCCACCCGAACCCCCAGCATGGCGTCGCCGGCGCTGTGGACGGTGTTCCTGGGCAAGGTGCGGCAGAACTCGCGCTGGCCGGGCGAGGTGTCCTTCAAGGTGAGCCGCCTGCTGCTGCACCCCTACCACGAGGAGGACAGCCACGACTACGACGTGGCGCTGCTGCAGCTGGACCACCCCGTGGTGCGCTCCGCCTCCGTGCACCCGGTCTGCCTGCCTGCGCGCTCCCACTTCTTCGAGCCGGGCCTGCACTGCTGGATCACAGGCTGGGGCGCCCTGCGAGAGGGCGGTGAGCAAGGCCCCGGGGCCCGCGCGGGGAGGGGACACAAGGGAAGCGGCAGGTAGCACAGGTGCCCACCTGGGCGTGGAGGAGGCTGGGGTGAGCCCCAGGGCTGGGCAGGCTTTCAGAGAACAAAATCCGTGATGCGATCACAGGCTCTGCCCTCTACCTGCCTGCCCTTCCTTTTCTTCTGGAAGGACATTTTGAGAACCTAGGCAAGCTGGGCACCAGTGGCTCACACCTGTTATCCTAGTTATTCAGGAGGCTGAGATCTGAGGATCATGGTTCAAAGCCAGCTGGGGCAGGAAAGTCCATGAGACTCTTATCTCCAATAAACCACCAGAAAACCGTAAGTGGTGCTGTGGCTCAAGTGGTAGAGCACTAGCCTTGAGCTGAAGAGCTGAGGGACAGCATCCAGGCCCAGAGTTCAAGCCCCAGGACCAATAAAAAAAAAAAAAGCACCTAGAGGACCGGGCGTGAGCAGAGGACACGGGGACAGGCTCAGGGCTCCTCCGCTTGTGGACATGCACTGCAAGGATGGTTCAACAGCACAGATCGGATTTTCAGGGGGACAGGACTCCATGTGCCCTGCCTGATTCAGGGACATGCATTGTGGCACATGTTGTGGATGATAAAGAGGCTCTGAGCCCCAGCCAGAATTGGACAGAGACTGGATCCCAGGATCCAGGCCTGGAGATTCCTGCTGCTGTTCAGAGGTGGGCTCCTACCCTGTACCCCTCATGATGGGAGCCACCGTCTCAGGTGCCCCCAGTGCTTCCAATATGCACTCAGCCAGATACAGCCTTGCTCTAAAACCTCTGAGTGCAGCTTTAATGTGTGCAGCGCCACCAGTGCTTTCCAGTCAGGAGGGAGGAGGGCAGCTGTGGCTGGGCCTGTTGCAGAGCTGGGGGTCAGACCCAGGGCCTTGCACATGCTGGGCAAGCACTCGACCACCGAGCCACACCTCTACCCCCAAGTTGTAAAGACAGGCACTCTCCTGGATACTTTGAAAACACAAAGAGCGGTAGCAATGCAAGGATTGGGTCATTAATTCATTCATCAACACATTCCTGAGCACCTACTATGTGCTGGGATCAAGGCAGGCAAAGGGGATAAAGCAAGAACATTCTTGAGAGCCATAGGGTTAGGGGACACAGGAGACAGTGGAACACTGGTGGACACAGGACACAGCAGCCCTGGCTCCAAGGACGAGCAGGCAGCCCCCAGGGGAGCAGGAGGTGTCCTAGGCAAAGGTACCTGGGTCAGACTCAACCTGAGAATGAGATCCACTGCCAGCACGAGGGGGCATGGTGGAGGGGCAGGGGTGTATGGGAAGAGGGAGGGAAGCACAGGCAGAGCCTTCCGGGCACCACAACGGGCAGGCCTTCTCCCCACGTGCACCTGAGAACCAGCTTCAAAACCGGCGCCCAGGCCCACATCAGACCTGTAGCCCTTGGGTGCCATTCGGTGCCAGTGTGTACAGAGCTTGCGGGGAAGCTGGGCGATTGCAGGGAGGGAGGACTCTGTGCTTTGTGGACAACCCACAGCGGAGGGGGGTGGGGAGCTTTGCCAGGGCAGGGGCACACCCCAGATGGGACCCTGGCAGGGGGAAGGCAATGAGATGCTGGAGGAAAACACTAACAGGCTTTGAGTGGGGCTCCACCAGCCACAGGGAGCAGAATGACAGAGGGGCCAGGGCTGTGCCTGGTAGGGGAGAGTGGGCAGAGATGAGGAGCATCACGGGGGGAAGGGCCGGGCTTCCAGGAGCCTGGGCCCTCATGTCTGCCCTGCAACGCTTGCAGGCCCCACGAGCAACGTTCTGCAGAAGGTGGACGTGCAGCTGGTCCCGCAGGACCTGTGCAGTGAGGCCTACCGCTACCGGGTGACCCCACGCATGCTCTGTGCCGGCTACCGCAAAGGCAAGAAGGACGCCTGCCAGGTGACTTCTGCGGGTGCCAGCGAGGGCAGAGGGAGGCGGGGGGGGGTCAGCTCAAACCCAGGCCCGTCCCCTGCCCCTCAGGCACAGGGTCACACAGGCCAGAGGCCACCTGGAGGGAGGGTGGCTGCCACAGAGAAGGCAAGGCAGCCCAGGGATGGGGGAGGCGGGGGACACACGGTCAGGAGCCGCTGGCAGCCAGGCCAGGCTGGTCTTGGCTGGTCAGTAGATGGTTTCCAGTGGTCATCTGACTTTTGCTGTCCCCTCTGACACAACCGTCTGCTCTTCTCAGGGTGACTCTGGTGGTCCGCTGGTTTGCAAGGAGCCCAGCGGCCGCTGGTTCTTGGCCGGGCTGGTCAGCTGGGGCCTGGGCTGTGGCCGGCCCAACTACTTTGGAGTCTACACTCGCATCACGGGGGTGATTGGCTGGATACAGCAGGTGCTGACTTGAGGAGCTGGCCTGTCCAGGGAGCCCCGGGCACCCAGCAGGCCAAGGAACAAGTATTCTGGGGACAGGTAGCCACATGGAGACTGGAACGGCGTCCTGACCACTGCCGTGAGATGGCACAGGGAGGGGGGGACTGGCCGCGGCTGGCCAGCCCAGCCTGGGCTCACCTCTGGCCCTTTCTCCTCCAGCTCCTTCCTCCTACCCAATGACTTGGGGTGGGGCTTCAGTGGAGGGCTCTGTTTCCAGCCCCCCCCTTCAGTGTCAAACATCCGTGTCCCTAAGGGCACACAGAGTCACCTGGGGTGCCGGCTCCTGACTGCAGACTCCAGCCTGGGCAGTCCCTGGCGTATCTTGGAGGGGGGTACAGGGGACCCACAGAGCCTTGGGGAATCCCCAGGGGACCAGCTGCCAAGTAAGCCAAAGGGCGGGGGCAGCCCCACCGGCGGGACCCCTGCTCCCCCCCAGTCTCTCACCACCGGGATTCCGCGTCACCGGAGGCCAGCTGTCTGCCCCGTGAATAAAAGGCTGACCTAGCCGCCTGGCCTGAGTGGGCCCCGCACTGTCTCCTGTCTCCCGAGCAGGCCTGCTGTCCCCGTGGCACCACCGGGGGAACCCCGAGGAAGGCCATGGTCAGCGCTGGGGAGGGGCAGAGTGGCGGCCCCCTCGGGAACCTCAGGAGTCCGCGGGCACCGGGCAGCACAGGGTGGTCCTTGTGGGGGCACCAGGGCTGGAAGCACAGCGTGGGTCTCCTGCTCCCCCGTGCCCCTCGTCCACACCCCCTACACCCTGCAACCAGAGAGGATGGGGATGCGGGTGGGAAGGATGCGCCGTGAGCTGGGGCATAAGGCCATCCCAGGAGGCAAAGGCAGTGGGCTGGGCTGGCGGGTGGTTTAGGACCCCCCCGGGGGTCCTGGAGCCGAGAGCTGGCTGGGGAGGGGCCAGGGCACTGGGGGGAAGGGGAGGAGCCGCCGAGGGGTGCTGCCAGGGAGGCCTCCAGCTTGAAGGAGGCATGATGATGATTAGGGGGGGCTCGGGTGCGCACCCCCTCCCTCCGTGAGAATGGAGGAGCTGGAATGCAAAGGCCCCTCGTGGGTCCCAGCAGGAAGCCAGGTGGGGAGGGCGCAGGTCTTTTAACAAGGTTCCAGGGGACTCTGCTTGCTGGGGCAGTGGAGGCTGAGGGGGCGGATGTGCCCTAAAGAACCACGGCTGGCTCTAGGGAGGTGAGACTCAGAGGAGGGGGGCCTGAGCAGCAGAGATGGACGTGGGGGAGGGGAAGAGTCTGGGGGAATCCTGCCCTGGGTCTCCATTTCCCAGAGCCTAGCAGAGGGGGTCTTCAGCCTCCACCCCTGGGCGGAGCTCCAGGCCAAGTCTCCACCTCTCCTCCCAACACACAGCCATGTGGCTGGGGGAGAGCCTGGGTTTCAGGAAAGCCCAGTCGTCTGGGTGGGTCTCCTAACGGGCTCACACAGGAGGCAGCCAGGCGGGGCTTTTCTTCAGGTTTATTCATTCAGTGGTGGGAGGCCCGGCTGAGAAGAGAGGCCCCATTTGGGGGGGGGGTTCACACAGGAGGGCCTCGCTCAGTCCCCCACACAATCAGGCCTTGCCCTGGGCAGAGGGAGGGTCCCATGCCCCTTACGGGGTCCTGCCCACCACTTCGGCCACGCCTGGGCCCGGAGCAGGGCTGCGCTGCCTCCTGTCCCCATTCTCCTCCCAAGCCAGGCCCCTGTAGTGCTACCCCAGTACCTGAGTCTCCCTTAGCAAAGTGTCCTGCATGGGGGGGCTAAGGCTGTGTCCCCAGAGAAGGTGAGGGATGGCCCTGCTTCGGGGGCTCTGCCGCTCTGGGCACCCTCACAACAACCCTGTGAGGTAGGCAAGGCAAGGGAAACGCCGGGACGGACAGGGGGACAGCCCAAGGAGGGGAGGTGCCCGGGCAGGGGGGGGGGCGCGTCCACCATGCAGCAGGGGGTTGGGGGCCACGGGACGGAGGGGCCTGGGAGACGCAGCTGGGCAGGGCCCCACTTCAGCCCCAGGCAGGCAGCCCTGCCCAGGGTCCGCCTCAGGCCTGGTGAGGTTCGGGGGGGCCCCCAGCCCAGCCCTGGAGGGAGGGGTGAGTCCCAGCCCAGTGAGTACAGACAGGACGGGCAGGGGAAAGAACACAGCTTCCTTCTCGGGCCGGGGGCCCGCCCCGTGGTACAAAAATAAAGGATTTCAGATCGGAACCCCAAGTCCCTGGAGGTGATCTGGGGGCTCACATCCGGGTGCCTCTGGCTTGTAATAGCTAGAAAATAAGAGAGGGAAGGGGTAGGAGGAGGGGAGGGGGGGAATCAGAAAACCAGGGAGGCCGGTAATGAGAGGGCAGGAGAGGGGTGGAAAGTGAGAAGGAAGGAGGCAGGAAGGGAGGAGGGAGGGAGGGAGGGAGGGAGGGAAGGAGGGAGGAAGGGAAAGAGGGAGAGAGAAAGGCCAGTAAGTCCCAGGCTCCCTTCTAGAAGAGGAGAATGGGGCTGAGGCCCAGAGAAGTGGAGTGAGGACCGAGGGGGGGGGCAGGAGGGGTGCCCCCCCGAACTCAGCTGGGCGCCCCGTGCCCACCCTGGGCTGCATGGAGCCTGCCTGGGGAGGCCAGGCTCTACTAAAACTCAGTCCAGGGTGGAGGCAGGGCAGAGGCAGGGCCGGGAGAGCTGCTGTCCCCACTTTAGAATCCACTGGGGCCCAGAAGGCACGTGGCTGCCAGGGTCCCGGGGCAGCTGAGACCGAGTGGGGCACCTGGCCACCCTATAATCCTCGGCTCTGGCCCATCTTTGCCAGCCAAGGCTATCCCGATGTGGCCTGGCCTCCCCACCCCACAGAAGTAGGGGGCCGGGGGCTACATGCAGCCACACACGAGCTCCAGGGCGTTGGGGATGCAGCCCCTCCCCAGCCTGGCTCAGGCACCACCCAGCAGGCAGGTGGGCAGGAAAGCCCCCCGCCCCACCTCGCTCTGCTCTCAGGGCCTCACCCCAAGGCCCAGTGAGGATGAGAAACTGGTGAGTGGAGAAAACCAGCCGAGAGCCTGGCCCAAGTCCAAGGACAAGAGACAAGCACCCTCCTTGCTCGGCCCTCTGTCCAACTCTGCCAGGCTCCTAACCGGGGCTGGCAGCTCTGGGGTTGGTGCGGGCCAAGGAGCCCTCCCGACAGGCTCCCGCTCAGGTCTGGGAGGGTGTGAACGGGGACCTGCAAGGAGGGCACATGAGGGGGCCAAGCAGGCCGGCGGGGCCCAGGCCAGCCTCAGAGGTGCCCAGCGGGGTGGGTGGACACGGAGCAGGTGCAGCCGTGACTCTCCTCCCCAGGCCAGGAGGCAGGAGGGACTGGAAGGGGTGCAGGAGGCGGCTGGCGGAATGCTCGGGGATGCAGGGCCATGGGGCCTGGGGAGAGGGCACGGGAGGCCGGGGCCAGAGCGGCCCCAGGATGGAGATGCGAGCAGGCAGAGAGAAGACCTGGACAGGGGCAGAGAGGGAAGAGGCAGGGTGCAGATGAGATCCAGGAGGAAGAGGAGGTGGATGAAGATGAGGCAGGACCTCCAGCAGGAAGCGGAGGAGGAGGCGGTGGTGGGAGGGAGAAAAGGTTAGCGGGATCCTGAGATGACAGGGCTGCAAGAGAAAGTGAGAGAGGGATGGTTATGGGGCGAGGCGGCAGGCGCTAAGCTAACCCTGGCGGCCCGCCCTCGCCCGGCTGCAGCTGCTCCAGCGGGCGAGCGGAGCCCCGGCTCTCATTAGCAATCATCTTCCTGGGGGCGGGCTGCACCTTTCTCCTGGGCATCTGCCTCCACCTGCACCTGTGCCACCTCCACCTCCTCCACCTCCTCCTGCCGCGGTGGCTCCTCCAGTTGCTCCTCCGCGCTCTGGACCCGCCGGCCGACCCAGGGAAGAGAGAGTGGAGACACTGACCTAGGGCCGGGGCGTGCGGGTCGCCCCACCCCCAACCTCAGGGCAGAGGGGCAGGTGACATTGGGAGTGACCTGGGACAAGGGAGGGCTGCAGCCACAGAAGCCAGGCATTGCCAGCCCGGGCGAGCCCAGGGGGTCCGGCTCAGGACCAGTCTGGCTGCGGTCACAGAGGGGTGTGGTGGTGAGGGGTGGAAGAGGAGCCCTGTGGGTGTGGTGGGTGGGGGCAGCAGGAGGTGCCTGGCAAGGCCTTGCTTGGGGATGGGGAGGGCAAGATAGGCAGCCAAGGCTGTCTCGGGGCCAACACCAACCAGATCTAGGGCGCCAGCAAGGGTCTGGCACCCAGGCCTGGGCGGTGGCACAGGCAGGCAGCGCAGCGGGCTCCCACTGTCCTCCACCAGCACGGGAGGAGGGTGAGGCAGACAGACAGACAAGACAGACAGGAAGCCAGGGTAGGTCTCCAGCACACAGGAGCAGGCCCCCTCTGTCCTAGCCAGGCCCATGCCTAACTCTGCTGCTGCCCAAATGAGAGGTCCTGGAGCTGAGGGGAACAGATGCTGGCAGCTGTGCCCCCTGGGGGAGGGGAAGGCTGGCTTCCGGGCAGGTGGACACACAGGGAGGCCTGGGGCAGGACTGGAGTGTGGCTTCCTGGTTCTGACCTAGGCCTGAGGGAATAAACTGGCTACTCCAGAGCCCAAGTCTGAGTCAACACAGGATGTGGTTCGCCTTTCTGGCTGCATGGAGGATAGCAGAGGTGCCCAGAGGACAGAACTCGCCCAAGGCCATACTCTGTCAACCTAGCTTAGTGCACTGTCTGGTGCAGACACCGCGTGGCCCCGCAGAGCCCACCCTGGCTGCGCCCTGCGGGCGGTTCTGACTTGCTGCTCCCCAGCCTGGGCCTGGTAACTGGTGTGAGCAGACTTGACCAAGATGCATGGGATGGATGGCAGTGGCTGTGACCATGGGGTTATGGGGTGCGGTGGGAGGGAGGAGGCAGCGGCGGGGACGGAGGGAGGAATGCCCGAGGAGCACATCTCTACCTTAGTTTTGCGGCTGGACTCGGAGCTCAGGCCATGGGAGGAGCTGTGCAGCTCCTTGGACACCACGCACAGGAACTCGGCCTGGTCCTCACTGCCATAGGTGTAGGAGGAGCCGATGTTCACCAGCTGGGGGGGGGGAGACGGAGGTTGGGTGGGGGACAGAGGTGCCCCTGGCGGCTGCCAGTAGGTCATCTTGGCTCTGCTCTAGGCAGCCTGCAGGGACGGCTCCAGCTTCCCTGGCTTGCACCTCTCCTGGATTGGCAGGGCCTGACCCATCCGAGCCCCACCCTGTCACAGCCAGGCAGCCACTTCCTAGAGGAAGGCAGGGTCCGGGGATGAGCATGCTGTCCCCCGGCCCAGACCTGGCTGCAGCATCTCCAGGTTCTAGGCTGCAGCATGGATCTGGGACACAGAGGAGCCTTATAGACTACTCCTTTGCTCCGGGAAGGCCAGGCAGGCCAGTGAGTTCACAGGGCCAGTGACCAGTCCCTCAGCCTCTCAGTGGCTCAGGGTCTGGAGGATGACACACCCACACAGCCCTTCTGGCTAAGGAAATCTTGCACAAATGAGTCTTCCAGCTCTCAGGGGTCCTGATTCAGCAGTCACAGAAAAATCTCCCCCCCTCCACTCGGAACAGTGGCCTGCAGGTCGCGGGGCTGCAGGAAGTGCGGGACCTGGGTCCCTCCAAGCCTTCTCTAGGGTCTTGTGGACTTGAATTCAGTCCTAAGAGTTGACCCGGCACTAGGGCCTTGGCAGGACCAGCAGCGTCACTGCCGGCCCTCGGATGATCACAGCAGCCTTGAGAATGCGGTGCCGGGCCTCCGCTGCAGATGGGCAATGGCCTGGGAGGAGCCGTGGCTTTCCTGCGGCTGGAAAGGAATTGGGCCTCCGGCTCCTGGACTGGCTTGGACTTCCTGCCTGCCGGCCACCCCAGAGGCCCAGCCCTCCCCCTTCAGCTTCCTGTGAAAGGCAACAACTCATGGCCCAGGTGAGCCTTCTTGCTCTAAGGGCAAGTCAGACTGAGCTTGCTTTGCGGCTGTGTTCCCCTGGAAACCTGCATGGTGGCGGCGCTGGTCAAGTGAGGTCAGCACGGGAGCTCAGGGAAGCCTGAAGGGGGCGCTGGCGCGCCCTGGGCACACTCCCTGCGGAGCCCTGGAGGCTGTGCCCAGGGTAGTCACCTCCGTGGCTCTGTCTCCCGTTCCTGGCTGTCAGAGACTTGCCCACAATACCCTGCAGTCCCCTACCCACCCCTCTTTGTCCTCCTCTCCTCATTATGTAAATCGGGATTTAAGAGCACTCCCTCGCCACGTAGGGGCTAAGGTGAGAGCTTGAAGTTGGGCTGCCCCGTGGTCCCAGCCTACCTGCTCAAAGCGCCAGCCGTCAGACATGGTGGAGACCATCTGCGTGAGCTCCTCCTCCTGGCACTGCAGCACCCGGTACACGTGCTTGGGTGGCACCTGTGGGCACAGGGTCGTGTGAGGGGCTCCTGCCGCCCCTCCTCAACCATGTACTCCTGGATGGTGGGGGAAAGAGGAAGAAGGGCTGGAGGGAGCTGTGTCTTGGGCACACACTGTGTACCAGGGATTCCAGATACATGATCTCGCTCCTTCATAGATCCCTATACGCTATGGGATCAGTGAGGATCTAGAACTGGAACGGGGGGGGGGGAGTAACATTTGGGTCACTGATCACGTCAGACCCTCCAGAGACGTGAAGCCTCCCCATCCCACCTCCCCTCCCCTGTCCCACCTCCATCCCCTATGGCACTGCCCAGGGAAGGTGGGGAATGTCCCCATCTGCTCCTGGTCACTGGGTGGGCACCGCTCAAGACCTCTTTGTACCCAAGCGCAAGGTCTTGAGAGGCCACCCAGCAGCAGTGCAAGGTCCCCGGGCCTTTCCCCTGCCGCCCAGCTTCTCTCCCGACCTGGGTCACGGTGTAGTCCTTCTCCTCCATCCTGTCTTTGATGATTCGGATCAGCGGGCCAATGTTGTAGAACTCGGCCTCCTCCAGGACTCCTGGCAGACGGAGCAGCCCCTGGTTACTCCTGCCGCCCCAGACTCTCTTCTCCTTTTGCCACCAGGCCCACGCCCTGCTCTAGTTGCAGGCCCCGACAAGAGTGGGTGGCAACTCGGAGTCCAGTGGCCAAAGAAAGGGTCTGTTTCCTTCCTTCCTCGGGCTCCATACTCCCAGTGGAAGGGGGGAGATGCCGTGATGGAGCCGGCTCCCCTCGTGGCACAGATCAGAGCACCAAGGCCACCTGTGGTCCACAAGCTGGCACTGCTCTGGCACCACCAAGAACCAGAGGTGAGCTGGAATGGAGCCCTGGGATGCCATGAGGGCCTGGCCCATGCCTACTGTGTGCATGCACGTAGCCCGCACCTGCTGGGACCCTGCGCCTGCAGCACGCCACCCCTTTCATCATCTTGACTCCATGGGGGAAACTAAGGCTCCAAGAGAGAAACGACTTGCCCAAAGTCATGCAGACTTATGGAAACACAAGTGCCTTAAGCCTTCAAGCTCCTGTATAGACGTATAAACTTCTATGCACCCTTTCCAGCGCCTACACTTCACAGTTTTTAAGGCCCCTGTGCTCATCAGGAATCTTGCAGCTATGAGGGAAGCAAGCACCGTTCTTCACATTTTGCAGTTAATAAATCTGAGAGATCAGACTGGGAAGGTGGCTCAGTGGTAGAGTGCTTGCCTCGCATGCACGAGGCCCTGGGTTCGATTCCTCAGCACCACATAAGCAGAAAAAGCCAGAAGTGGTGCTGTGGCTCCAGTGGTAGAGCGCTAGCCTTGAGCTGAAGAGCTGAGGGACAGCACCCAGGCCGAGTTCAGGTCCCATGACTGGCAAAAAAAATAAAAATAAAAAAACAAATCTGAGAGCTCAAGTCGCCCCCAGCCCCGCCAAGTGAAGTGGAAAAGTTCCCAGGGGCTTGACACTTGAAGCTTCTGCAGGGCCGGGTCCCTTCGGTCCCTTCCAGATTGGCTGCTAGGCTCCCTGGGACAGGACCTATTATGGGCTGTGTGTCCCCTCAAGATCCCCATGCTGAATCCTGGCTGGTGAGGTGAGGGGACCTGGAGGGAAGGCGCACGGCCCATGGTGCATGGGGCGCGGTGGCATGGTGAAGAGGGGGAAGGCTGGGATTGGATGGTACCCCCTTAAGAAGAGGCCCGGTACTGTACGGTGCCCACATCCTGCCTGGAGCACCCAGGGGAGGAAGGCAGCAGTCTGCAGCCCAGAAGAGGGTCTCCTCAGGGCCCCACTGAATGGCCAGAGGAGCGCAGAACCCAGCCTCCAGCACCGTGAGGAACACATCTCCATTGTGGACAACAGCCAGAATGGATGAGCACAAGGTCCCTCTTTGATCTATACTGCTGTCCCCAGAGCTCCCCGAGGCCTGCCAGAGAGGGGTGTCCATGAGCATCATGTAACCTGGGGCTGTGCAGCCTCAGGGCCAGCGGGACCTGTAGCTCCTTTTATCCACCCCCAGCGACGTGGGCACTGCTGTCACCCCATTTCACAGACAGACGTGTGGAGGCACAGGGTGTGAAATAAGGTTCCAGGTCCCCCTAGGTAGGGAGCTGGCTGTCTGCAGGTGCTATCAGTTTCAGGGCTTTGAGAAATCAAACCTGTAAACAGGTGTTGGCTGTGACTCTGGAGTGCTGCCTCCTCTTCCCTCCCCTCCCAGTGGGACCCGCTCCTGTGCCCAGGCCACACCCACGTTATCTGCTCCCCTAGGGCCGCTGCCAGCCTCGGCAGAGCAGAGGTGTTGAAGCCTGGCTCTTTGAGAAGCTTCCAGACTGCTGTACCCTGTGAGACCATGGGCAAGAGTGAGGAGGGATGGCTAGCCTTCCCCGACACCCACGGGTGCACAGGACCCAGGACGCATGGAGTCTCAGTGCATGCAGAATGCATGCATTTTGTAGATACCAGCAGGCCTGGCTGGGTCAGCTCACCCAGAACCACACCCTGTGTCCTGAGGAAACGTCTAGGCACACTGGTCCCTGGCTGAAGCTTTGTAAGTGACAGTTCTCTCATAGTTGGCTTCTCTGTCTGCTAGGCCCGGACATGGGCATCTACAGCCCTGGGAGTCACTGAAGCCCTACCAGGGAGCAGGCTCCTCCCCCACCCCCGCCTCCCATCCCAACCAGCCCAGTGCGGCAGAGACTGCCAGATTTGGGGAAGACTCACCCTCTCCACCCACTTGCTCACTGCAAGCCCTCGCCTGGCAGAATTGGCAGAATTGAGAATCAAAATAGCAGATCACTCAGAGAAAGAAGGTGGTGAGGGGTCCCCCCCTTCCCCACCCCTTTTCCCCTCCACCTCAGGGCTGCAGTAGACACCCCTGGCTTCCCAAGAGGCCAAGAGTGGAAAGGAAGAAAAGGCAGCCCCACCCCAAACAGACGCCTCCAGCAAGGGCTTCCTTCATCCTCTGCACAGGCCTCTGTGGCCATCCAGTGAAAGCTGGGGCCTGACAGCTCCACCGAGGCCAGCCCTGTTCCAGCTGAGAAGAGGCGGAAAGTGTGTGAGAGAGCAGGGTTCCATGCCAGCCAGGGGAAGTGGCTTTGGATCTCAACTGCACACGGCAGAGCTAGGAATGGGCCTCAGGCCACTGGACCCACTTACCCTCCTCAGCCATGTCCTTGTCCAGCACCAGTTTGCCATGGCGGAGAAAGTTCAGGATGGGCCCAAAGTAGGTGGGGTCCCGGTCAATGAGGTAGGCCCCAGTTTCATCCTATAGAGGAGAATACCACAGGTATTGAGAGAAGTGTAGCCTCACCCCTGCCCAAGCCCACATTGTTCTAGGAAAAGTCAGGGGAGGGAGAGAGGGTGCAGGGTAACAGGCTGGAGCAGTAAAGCTCTGGGATCAGGCCGACTGAGGTTCAAACTTTGCCTCTGCCTTTTCTAGGCTGTGTGACCTTGGACTGATGGTTTGACCTCTCTGAGCCTCTCTCCTCGCCCCATAATTAGGTGACTGTGAACACGTGGGCGAGAAGTTTGAGTGGTCTCTGGCCCGGTGCAGGGCTCAGTGATGGTCCCTCTTGCAGGGATGCCCCCCCTCTTCCCACCCACTACCCCAAGCTACCTCTACTGTCTATCAATCAGTCAGGGGATGTTTTCAAGTTTCCAAAGAAGCTGCTCTCTGATTGGACACGGGCAGCCCGCAGGGAGGCAGGGCGGGCTGAGACATCTGGAGGTGAGAGGCCTTGCCCAAGGTCACCGCGCGGGAGGGTCACGAGCAGGGGGCGGGGCATCTCGGGGGGCCAGCCCCAGCTGGGACCCAGCTGGCCCTCCAGACTGGACGGCTGCGCCCACAGCAGGGAAGGAGCCCGTCGGAGGTGGTGCCGGGTGGAAGCGCAGACACGGTGGCCGCCGGAGCGGGGGAGGGTGGTCCCCGCATCCCCCAAAGGAGGGGGGAGCCCCGCGCGTGGAGCTCCAGGCCTGCCTGTCCCGTTGCC